CTTTTTTTTTTTGTTTTTTTTTTTTTGGGTGGTGGTGGTATGGTGGTGGTAAGAGAACCACCGGGATTGAGGCTTTGCCAGGCGGGCCGCTCCATCTATTGGTGGGGAGCAACACCTGCTGGAAACCGGGTCCAGCATCCCTAACTCAGTCTATTGTTATTGGGAGGGGAGCACCGGGGGGCACCGGTGGAGTCTCCTCCCATCCCCTAGCCTCTGCCATCCACCTACTATCCTCATGGCGCCTATTGTGTCTTTGCCTTAGAAAAGCTGAAAAAGGAAAGTCTGAAAAAGACTGAAGTGAGCTACCAAACAGCTGAAATCTCGCTGAATCCAACTAAATTCCTCTACAAAGCCCTAGTTAGATAAAGTCGCCAGATATTCCTCCAGGGCCAGCGGCTGAGGGGGAAAGGGATCACCGAAATCCTGTGCGGGTCTCAACTGCTCGCTGGGATCCACCTTGGTCCAGTCCTTGAAATGAAGCTGATAGTCTCTTTCCAGGTCTTCCTCTTGTCCCTCTCCATGTCCTTCGTTCTGCTGGTCCAACCTGTCTCCTATATTCAGACTCTACCTAGTCACTAGAATATGTGTGTCAAAAAGCCTCCCAACCACAAATCAGATAGGTGAAACCTATTCAATCCACCTACGATCACCACCAACATGGCTGTTTTCAGCACGAACCGAAGCTCTTCCAGGCTTCATGCTCCCATCAGGTTAGGTTACAGAGTTGCACCACCTTGCTCCAGCACCGGCCAGCATTGCGCCAGTTACGACCCCCGATGACCACCGAGGCTGCCCCCGCAAACAGCCCCCTAGAGCTCTCTACCAGGCCTCACGCCCCCACTAAGCTAGGTCACAGAGTTGAGGCTCAAAGTTTAACTTGTCAGCACAGACATCCAAAAAATGCCAGTCAACATCATCATCATCATCATATATATATATATATATATCCCAGTAAACCGTAGGCAGAGAGAGAGAAGAAGACAACAAACGAGGGGCTGTGACAAACTGTTTCGTCGGAGTTTCACCGACTCATCAGGAGGTATATTTTTTTGAAAAAGGGCGGCAGTCTTGAGATATATTCACAGGTGACCGGCCCTGGGTAACTCGAGATTGCTATGGAAGTGAGAGCTCTTTTATTGGATGTGTATTGGGTGTGTCCCGACCGGCCGCAGCAGGACCTGAGCAGCCCCTTCCACTTGGCCCGATGCTCCCGCATTGCAACGGGTTACATGGTTACAGGGCGGCACAACTCGGCCCAATGAGTTACCAGTGTTGATCGGCCGTGGCCACCAATCCTTCTCAGGCCACTGAAAGTGACGGCAACGGGAATAGAACCCAACCCAACCAAGCACCTATGCGGTGCCGCTCAGGCATCAAACCTACTGAACTAGCCGACGGGACAGTTTACGTAATCAATAAAGACAAATGTTGCTGCCCATGTTATTGATTAACAGTATGTTCTCCTGAATATTTCTCTTGTTAATGAAGCATGTTTGTGAGGGATGTAAGGCAATGTATGATATGGACGATGATTGGCTTAATTGCTTTAGTTAATATTTTATAAACCACTGCGAGCAGGGTAAGTTGTCTATAATTTGTAATATTAGTCTTATCCTTTTTTTGGTACAGCAAGGTTAGAATCCCCTAACCCACTATCTCCCCCATTCGACTGGATCCCTAAATATACCTGTAGCATTTTATCAGGCCTCCGAAAACTCCTTAGGTAACCCATCCATCCCTGTGGTTTCCCCACTTCGATCTGTAGCAGGGCTGTCCAAATTTCATTATCGGTAATCGTGTCCCCCCCCCCCCCCCCCCCCCAAAAAAAAAAAAAAAAAAAAAGAAGTCCAGGTTGTCGTAGAGGTTGGCTACTAGGCATATGACAGGCCCATCAACACCTGACCATTTGATCATCCCGATGTATTGCCTAACCGGTAGAGACACCCTGCCATCCTTACTCATCATCACGATCCCCGGCGCATCCGTACTCCCAAGGTCCTACCTGAGTATACCTAGGATCACCACCCATTCGAGTGATCTTTGACCAGACAGCGGTTATAGGCATCAGGGCTAAGCAGGTTTCTCACCTCCCTCCCTAGCCCCAGTTGAAGCACTATCGAACGAGCCACGTCATACCGGGCACGTCGAGTGCTAGGGGTAATCATGCCACTACAAGTCTTATAGGTGAAACCTAGTTTTCTCCTGGGTTTTAAAGAGATCCTAGCCTTATCACCCTCAGATCCTTCTAGTTATTAATTTGGGAAAGTGGACACGCAAACGCCCAGGAATCCCAAAAAAAATAATTCCGGCTTGTCTTTAATGATTGGACTACCATTGACTCCTCTATCCCTCTAAAGTCCATGTCTGAATTTCCTGATTTCTTCCCTCCCCCAAGTAATTGTCTTGTGCCCATTGCTTGGTTTGGATAGTTAGCGGGTAAAGTGCTTGGGATTCATGATTATTCGGCGCCCATTAAAGGGTGAAGAGGCACTATGCTAGTTCAATAGTGCATTGTTCAGTGGATATTAGATCAGTAGTGCAGAGCTGTTGGCTCATTTTTTGTTCTCAGCAGGATCCTACTGGTTACCTCCGGGTAGACTGTGAGGACCCCGGCCTCAATCATCATATTCATAATATCAGCCTTGGGCACTGGGCCCCTTTTTTCAACAACAAAAAAAAAAAAAAAAAGATCCTTCTAGACTTCTAGTTATTATTCTTTTAATTGTTGAAGAGGTTATTCGAACCTAGAGCATCTTCAGTTCCCATCCTCAATAGGCTTACGCCCACCATCCGCTCCCCATACCTCTATCATCAACTGGATGTCTAGGCGTGTTATTAGCATCCCCCAGAGTGATTTCAGTTAGGTGACCACAAAATGACTTGTCACTGTAAAACTATAAGGAATCATGCCAATAAGATTACAAAATAACATTTCCATCCTCAGCGCGTTCAGGACCACCATCGGTCCCCCAACCTCTTATCAACAATGAGAGCTACTCTGGTCTATTATAATCTGACAGTATTCTATATGCAGGTAACAAACCAACCTCCATCCCCTTTTTTTTTTCTTTTTTTTTATTATTATTATATATTTTTTTAACCTCCAACCTCCATCCCCTAAGACCACCTCTAATGCAGGTTTCCCAATGTCATAAGGCTAGGATCTCTCTAAAAAGCAGGAAAAACTAGGGTTCTCCTATGGGACTTGTAGTGGTATGCTTACCGCTAGTGCTCGAAGTGCCCGGTACGACATGGCTCGTTCAGTAGTCTTCAATCAGGGCTGGGGAGGGAGATGAGAACCTGCTTAGCGCTGATGCCTTTGACTGCTGTCCGGTCGGGGTCGAGGAGTTCACACTCGGCGCTGCCAGCGCTAACTTGCGCTGTGGACCAGTCGGCGAGGCCCGGCCGCACTCTGCAGACTAGGGCAGAGGTGGTGACTCTGGTGAGCGCCATAGCTGAGCTTGGTCGTCCTGGTGTCCGCTTGATGCCTTGGCACGGGCGTAGGTGGGGTTTTTCCACGTGGCATCTTCAGGAGACGGCACATCGGCTCGAGGAGTTAAAGTTCAGATCGAATAGGCACCGTGTTGGTTTCGGGGGCGGCTTCCATAACGTGATAAGACTTCACAAATATAACAAATGATGGCGATGGAGGCGGCGATCATGCAGGACGCAGCTGCTGCTGCTGCGTTTGAAGAAGAGGAAACACCGCTGGAGATGGTGCGGATGCATAGGCGACAGATGGAGGATATCTATGCCGCGCTGATTCAACATCGCCATAATGTATCACCGGAACTTTTGGAGGAGGGGGAGGAATTGTTCGTTGGATGGGAGGAGATCCATGCAAACCTTTCTCTCCAAAGGTTGGGTACTGCTGAGAGAGCACAGGTGATGGCTGAGTTGCGGGATTGTACTGAAATGATAGGGAGAGTGAGAGGGATCTTCGTTGAGCTTTGGGAGGGGCTGTATGAGAATACAAGACGTGAAGATTCGAAACGGCGTCGTTGCGTGGGGTTTGAGGAGAGGCAAGTGCCTTGTGCTACGACGCGGGGTTGTGTGTATGAAGCTGATGACGTCTGTACTTCAGCCACTTCTGCGAACAAGGAGGCTGCGATTTGCCGCGAGGAGCTTGAGGAGGGGCAGGGTGCTTGCGGTGAATTGGAGGAGCGCTTGTTTGCTGATGACGAGGATTGTTCTCCGCGGGGAGGAGGGGCCATGGCTATGTGCGATAACAACAGCAACAACAATAATTGCACTGATGTTGATGGTGATCAGCGTGGGGAAGACGATGACAACAACATCAACAACAACATCAACGACGGCAACAAGAATAACAACAACGATTACGATAATTACAACGAAATCGACGGCGGTTACAACAGTGTTCACGATGATGGCAACAGAAGCGATATTGAGAACACCGACAACAAAAATGACCTCATGGTGTCGGTGCAGCAGGGCGCAAACATCGACAACAACAACTATACTGTGCGTGATGGCGGCCTGTGGGCGTGTGGAAAAGGTGATGATCACAACATCAACAGCGATATCAACAAATCAGCCGGCGTTAGCATGACTGAGAATAAAACAGCCGGCGACGACACAGATGATAACAGCCAAGAAAACGGGCAGTCTCCTTCCCCCTTTCCCCACCCTTCTTTTCTCTTTTCTTGCTGGTCTTTTTTTAGGATTGATCAGGGCTATGGGCGAGATGGGAGGGTGATTGGAATGCCTGGTAAACAGGAAGACTGTGTGGGGACGTGGGAAGTTGACTGGAGGCGTGTAGGGGTGGGATAGTGACGCTTGGATAATTGGGTTGCATAGGGTTGCACGCGAGAGGTTGATCTTATCGTACCTTTTTTGGGGTTGCGTGGCGACTACTGCCATGTAAAATGGGTAAATGAATATGGCAACTCAGGCCTTGTGTGGCCTTTTTAGAATATAGGATCTGTTCATGTGGCAGGGTGGAGGGTGCGGTGAGGAATTAGCACCAGGGATGGGCATCACGGTTGCCTGTGAATCTATTGTGTACTGCCACGTGGATGCTATGATGAATTTGCATGTGTTCTTGCCTTCTTTGATTACCCCTCTATCTTATCGATTGCGGTGCTGTGGGGGTTTTGTTGTGTGATTGATAAGATTTTCAGAGTAGGCAAAGATAGAGGATTCTGATGGGGGGTTGCATTAAGTGACTTTCTACTTCCCCTACTGCTGACTACCTCTCCTCCTCATGGCATGGTAAGGATTTACGTGGTAGATGACGAGGGTTAGAGTAGGGATACGATTCCGGATTTGGATGGGCAGTTAATCCCCTCAGTTGAGGGCAATCAATGCTACTCATCAGGCGTTCGTTCGGTGTGCTTACGTGTCGGTTTGGATGACTATTCACATGATCACTCCCTGTAGAAGGAAGGACACGTGGCATGCCTA